TAGTAGGTTTTTATGTAAGTAATTCGCTAGCTGCATTAATTATCACCAAACTTATCTTGTTAACGTAAGATGCCTGCAGGCAACTACAAGGTTTACACACCAAGAGTTTAAATCAGCGTGATTAATTTATGATAATGACAGTCAGCGCTCTCTTGTCGCATATGCGATGCACAACTCATAAATCAGGAATGCATGGATGAGAGCAGTTGGTCAACTGGAGCAAATCGACAAACTCATTGAAGAAAAAGCCAAACAATTAAGGCACTTGCCATGAATAGCCTAGTGGATAAAGATATGGACTTGTGACTGAAGAAGTTAAATGCAAGATGTTTTCAAAATCACAGTCACTAAATTTATTCTGTTGACCCATGTTTCCCTATTTAAATTCTGTTGTACAGGCCAAAATTGTGTAATGAGGGGGCGTGGCACACGAGAGGAGTGGATGATCGGGGCATGACATCTGGGATGTTATTGTCCAGCCAGGTCTCAGTAATAATTTCCACACAGCAGTCCACCCTACATGAGGCAATCCTCAGCTGAATCTCGTCCATCTTATTGACGAGAGACCTGGCGTTCATGAGGAAGAGACTGGGAAGAGCCGGTCTGTATGGGTTAGCATGTAGCCTAACATGTATGCCGCTCCTTCTGCCCCGCTTCTGTTTACGATGTCTCCTCTGCCGTCTTGGCTACAGAGAGGGGATGGTAAAAACCTCAGTAGTCTGCCATACCTCTGGTGAAATAAAATTCAGCCTTGGGGATGCGTGGAGCTCGAACCGCTGTGTCTAATGTATCAGTATGTGTTGGACAGTCTCAGGGCCTGCCTATGACCCTGACTAGGGTAAGTGGTTGGTGGATGGATGGATGTGTTTATGATTAGTATATGACATTCAGTGTTTTAAAATGAGGAAATATTTGATTGATCATTTACATTTCTATTCCTTTGTGTTCAAATTCCTGCTGTTTTTGGGCTAGTTTAAGCATATGCTTTACATTCATAGGCTTTTTCTTGTTGACTGTTAATGATGTTACATTATGAATTTCTAATTTGGAAAAAAAGAAAAACATTTGCATGTGATTTGACTTAATGACATTTAATGGTAAAAATTGCTATAAAGCAATGAAATTGAAACTCAGCCAAATTAAATGAATCAATCTACCATTGGTCCACTCAATGAAATATAGCACATAATCTAAAATATAATTACAGTCAAATATAGCTATGCAGATTGGTTCCATTTATTAGGGAATTAAAGCTTGATGTTGTAGATATCTAAACAACTTTAATAAAGATTGCAAATGCATCATATAATAGACATGGCATATCAGCAGAATTTCAGATAGGAAGAATGAGTTCTAGTACTGATACAGGTCATAGTCTCTAACATTAATGAGATTCATACACTTAGCTTAAGTTAGAATTGTCATTATTGATCATCCAGTCAATCCACCCAACATAGTTTCTCACTTTTGTGTATACACCTGGGAAGGATGGGTTTGCACAGCTAACACCCCATGAAACAATCCCTTCAAAATGACCATTGCAGACAAGGGGGCCTCCTGAATCACCCTGCAAAAATAGAACATTCAAAACACTTAAACGTAGGGTTTTCCCTCAATAAAGCCTTCAACATCATTTTGTATCCCCAGTATATGTGCTGTGTGTTTGATGGATATAATAATGTTGGGGAACTTTATCTTTTTTTTTTTATTCTAAATTTTGATTCATATTTTGTGCACATAAATACAACAGGCAGAAAATCAAAATGGAAATGGATGCACTCACTTGACAAGAGTCTTTTCCTCCAGTAGGAGAGCCAGCACATAGCATGTTATCAGTAATTCTCCAATAATAATATTTTTGGCAGTTAGAGATAATTTCCACATCAACAGCCCGTAGCTCTGGGGAGAGATAGTAGCTGTAGATCTGTGTGACTCCCCATCCACTAACTGTGCATGTGGTTCTTCCAAACAGTTGGGGAGTGTTAGTGGTGGGCAGGGTGGCTGGCTGAACATTAGCATTCAGGTGTGCAGGACGACTGAGCTAAGTGTCACAGAAAATTCATCAGAAAAACTAATACAAATTATATCAGTACTAATAATATACATGCACAAGAGTAGTTGTTACACATTTAAGTTCATACTAAGAGATGTACAGTGGAAACCGCTTATAGTGATCATAGTTATAGTGATCAACCACTTATATGGATCAAAAAGCTTGGGATAGAATCATTCCTGTACAAGTAATGTTTAAATAATTTGCTTATAGTAATCGTTTCACGTCTTTTATTTATTTTTTATCTATTTATTTTTTTTACTTTACTTTGCTACCAGAGGCTAATGCAGCATGCACAGAAAACACAGAAGACATGATGGGACAAAGAGAATCATTTTCTGTCAATAACAAATACAGGCTCATCAAAGCTTATGATAAGCTGTGAAAAATGAGCCAACAATATGCAGCAGCAAAACTGTAATAAGTGCTTTGAGACAATGTAATGTGAAAATGTGCTGTGTAAATAAATTTGAAATTGAACTGAATATTTATGTACAATACCGTATTGCATCATAGCATATTTGAATTATACAGTTCAGTAATTTAACTTGTGCAGTATTGTAATTTGAAAAGTGTTTGAAACAGCTGTACCATATTTTGAAATCGTCAAGAAAATGAAGTAAATAGTGGCGCTGTCCATTTTATTACCTTATATTCATGTAATAAATATACAAATGTCAATTACATGGTAATCTGCCTGAGACATAAAGAAGAAGAAAAAAATCAGTTATAATGATCACATTTTCTTACTTTTATCAGCATAATGTCATTGTTGAAAGTCTTGTAGTTGTAGTTGAAATGAACAAATATTTTGGTGACATTTAACTCTTGCTCAAATCCTTCTTCTTTGGAGAAACTATGTTCACTTAAAACCACTTTGATTAGAGAACTCCTGTTGAAAAAAATCCATTTATTTCTCATTTTAGACCAATTCCTGAAGAAAATAGTTCCAGTTTTTTATACAATTGCATTGCATTCAATTTTTTCTTTATCATTTCCTTCTCCTTTCTTACAAGATTTAGTACTCACGGTCTCCAGCAATGGGCAGCTGAAATAACCCACTGAGTCTGGATAAGTGTACCTCCACAGTAATGGCGGTGGTTGTACTGAATAGATGCTTGGTACTTAATGGAGTAAGGATCAACTTCTTGCCCTCCAATAATTCTTTGCTCAAATGTTCCTGAAAAAAATATTTTAAAATTGAATTTAAAACAATTTACTTAATTTACTTGTTCATGCACTTGATAAAGGCAGATTTGTTCAAGATGAGAGTAATGTAGGACTGAACCAAAAGTAAACAATGGAAGCACATTGTACTTTTAAATTTCTATGATAATATCACTACAGCTAGTGCAAAATGGGGTAACCTATCTGTTTTGTAGAATCAGGAATTATGAAGAAAGTTCGCTACAATGCATTTGATGCCTTCATCCACAACCTTTGTCCTCACAGCTATTGCTGACCTATCTCATTTCACCTTCCACATGTGGGAATCTTCATTACTAGATCCCCAAAATATAACTGCTTGGTACTTTCAGTTGGATAATTAGATCCAGTATTAAATGCAATTGTCATTATTCTCTTCGACTATTTATTAAATTAAGTAAATGCTGTATTACATGAGATTTAATAGATGTATTGCTAATTATGCAAAATGTTTGTTGTTCATTCAACATAATATTGAATTTTAGCGTCAAGGGTAATACATACTGAGGAAGGAATTAAATAAAGCACATTTACCTCTCAGCTTGAAAATCACAAGCAAGAGCACTCCAGGATGAAAACCGTGTTTCATATTTTGTATCTTGGGTTACCAATGTATAAGTGGCAATGACTTTATGAGCTAAAAACACAAGATGAAACAAAATAAATATTATGCTAACAGGAATATTTACAGAAATACATTTCCAAGGGATCAGTTAGAATTATGTATGCTATGTATGACATAATTCCATCATCCTACTTAAAGCCATTATTGCATTTTTATAATTGCAAAACTGCAGCAGAAAGGGAATTACAATATTACAGTAATAGAAAAAGAAATAAAGATACACAAAAGAAAATGATATATAAAAGAAATGTAGAAAAAGACTGTGATCACAAAAAGTAATTTTACTTAGTTACTGATACTCACCCAAGGCAGATGAAGCTTTCACAAAATGTATGTTTCACTATTACACAAAATACAGTTCTGAAGTATTTATAGTCTAACTCTATCCCTGTCCTGCATTTCCTGCAATGAATAAAAGCTGCCTCAAAGAATAATAAAGGAACTGACCTAGAACATCACAAAGATCTTAGTGTCACACACAATATTTCTTCTAAGCATTGCTGGATTTATCTTTGTTGGCTGTAACATATCTGTGACTAAACAGCAGGTCAGACTGTATCTAATTACTTTGCTTCATTATTCCTTGAGGACAGGAAGATAAAGCAATAACAAGAGAGAACCTGGCATTCATTTCTGTTGACATTAATATGGACACTGCAAAACCAGAACAAAAAAATAAGCGGGCAGTGTAATAAGGCTTCTGGAAATGTTTTTTACAAAGGAAAACATGAAATCTCAAATTTGCACTCATCACAAGGATTTACCATGGAACTAATGTCATACAAATCACTATTTTTATAAGAAGTTTAAACCATACGGCACCTACTTTGATGACTTAAAGAATTAAATTTATTTTTCAAATTTGAATTTTAGAATTGGAAAAAAGTTGTGAGGTATGAGGCAGCATCTGCTACCCATATAAGCCAACTGACTTTATACTTTTAAAGATCAAGTGGTCTTTCCCCAATTGTAAGCTTATAGTTCTTCTGGCCCAGTTAGTTTATTCACAAGTTGCTGGTCTTTCATGTAATAATTTAAAGTTATTACTACTACAAGGATTTAATTTTATTAAACATGCCCCTAGTAATAATTGCACTAATTAATAACTGCAATAATTGCAATAGAAACAATATTGATCTCTGTATTACAAAAACCTAATATCATAATAACATTAAAGGCAAATATTCAAATTAAAAATATTTCAATAAATGCTTCAAAGTGAATTTTCAGTCATTTCAAAATGTGTCAGTTGCTTCTTTATTTCAAATGCATACCATTTTTTAATGCCTCTATTTATAATACGGCTATACTTCTTTCTGTTTTGTCACAGGCACAAAAGATTTTACAACAGGAGGCAAAATGAAATGATTCAAAGCAGAACTTTACTGCTCAAGGGCAATGAATTCTCTGGATATCAAATTGGTTTTTAAAGCAATACTGACTATAAAACCAACTCATATTCAACATTAAAGGTCAAACAACTCAACTTTCCTGTTTTATCTGTTCCTCACTGTATGTGTATATGTTTAATATGGCTTTCATTGTTAATTTCCTCAGCAATGTTTACTCCAAGATTATAATCCTTCTTAAAAACCTCATTTACATGGTAAGACTCAAAATACCTCTACATATGTGTGTGTGTGTGTGTGTATATAAAGATTCAACCAGACATAAACACACAAACAGACATGGCAGCCACTAAAGCGAGACATCACAAGAGGCTCTTCTGCCTGATGATCCCTGTGTCAATTAGGGTGATCACCTAATCCATGTCAGGGGGGACAATATGAGCTACGACAGGGTTTTTAAACTACCATTTCAATTAAAAAGACCTGGAATTCACTATAGCATTGAGTTCTTGCTGTGTACTGGTTGGTCAGTCTCCTATAATCATGCATGTGTCACTAATGTTAATGTGAAACAGCTGGAAGAGTCTTTCAATCAAAGAATCAAACTAGAAAAAGCACAAGAAGAATTTAACTAATTAGCCAAGAACAGAAGCCATTCAGTTTTAAAGTAGTTTGTAAAACCTGAAGTAGCTCATAGTGTTCCCCTTGACATGGATTAGTTAGTCACCCTAACTGACACAGGGATCATCAGGCAGAAGAGCTTCTGAGTGATGTCAATAATAGAATTTTGAACACAGTTTTCCTGAATGCAGTTCTGTGAGGTAAGTATAATTTAAAATGTTCCCATAACTGCATTTTCATATGATTCCTAATGTTTTCATGTATTGTATTTGAGTAGATTAGTTATGGTTGATGCATTGTGATATGAATGAATGAAGCTAAAAGTAGTTGGTAGGTTTGGGAGTAAGCTTTGGGAAGTTGATTTTTTGCTTTGGGAATTTAGAATTTTAAAATGAGCAGCTCAATGAAACTCAAGAGTGACTTCACTAAGTACAGTGGTACTTCGGTTCTCGAACTCTAGAACTCGAATTTCTTAAAAGTCGAACCAACCAGTTTGAAAAAAATTACCTAGAACTCGATCTGAATCTCAGAAGTCAAACCGCGAACACCAACCTAAGATAACTTGTACGCGCGGGGAAATGAGTCACACGGCTCATCTCTCAGCAGAAACAAAGGGTAACGCTTCAGTCTCAGCCTCGCATTCGCTGTGATAGCATCCTGCATGTTTACTGTAGCTGAATACATATATTTAGATAGTAAAAATACATTTAGACAATGATAGATAGTATTAGTAATTATTACTATATAATAAAATACATTTAAAAATAAAGATTTCTTATTTTTTTAATATTGATAATAAACCATTAATACATTTAATTTAGGGCTGTCGAAATTAACGGGTTAACGCGGATTAATCCATCATCATGATTAATCTAATTTAAAAAATTTACGCAATTAACCCATCTGCAGCGCAGAATGACTCAAAATCCCTGAAATGTCTCTCTCAACCCATTTCGGGCAGTTTTGGTGCGTTCCATTTGCCCTCGGAACTCGTATTCCAAGTTGTATTCCGGAGTTTTGAAGTGACAACATACGCGCTCCCGTTTCTCGGAGATCAGAGAAACATCTCGGAGCAGCACAGAGGATCCCGAGTTCAGAATCCAAGATGGCTGCGCCTTTTATCAACAGAAGGGAAAGTTGTAGTTTTATACTGTTTAAGCACTACTTCTCATTTGTGGCTCATTAAATCGGTCGCACACATTATACCGTTCAACTTATCTGTGGACGTGTTGCTACGGAGTTTTATACGTAAAGCACCGCGCATAATGTGTTAACTGATATTGCTAACAATGGCAATTAACCGGGCTAGAACTGGATTTCATGATTAGTCGGATTATTTGTCGGATTTACGGTAGTTCGTGCTAATTGTAAGTGAACGAAGATAAAGATCATTTCAACTGAGGTACCTTAAATCCGACAAGTTGTCTGGCTAAGCAAAAAATCTTGCTTTTTGATACGGGTCCATGGTATTGCACTTCTGTGGCAGATGGAATGCATCCGACTCGTGTTCAAGATGTTCAATAAACATGTTAAGTGCATATATATTACCTTTTTTCTTGAGTCCGTTTGCTCATGCAAAATGAATTGTGATTAATATAGATTAAAAATGAATGATATTTAATCTTGATTAATCTAAATTAATCCACAGCCAACCCTGTGATTAATCTGATTAAAAATTTTAATCGTTTGACAGCACTAATGTAATTATACAATTATTATTATATAATTATAAAATTAACTAGAAACTGCAGGCAGTTACGAAAGGGTCCAAAGCGCAGGACGATCGGACTGGTCGGACAGTAGAGGAATAACGGCAGTGAACCGGCGGGCAGGGTAGTAGAAAGTCAGACAGAATTAGACTGCCATAACAGGATAGGAGATGTAGGACAGAGCTGGACTGTCTCAGTAGTAGGCAGACATTAGGATGGAGATGCTTTTAGTGCAGGTGTAACAGGCCAGTCAACATCAGAGAGTACACTGTGCACATCAGGATACCTAGCTGAAATACAAAAATACTAAGCTGGGTTCGAACCGGCGATCCTCTGATTACAGGCATACAGGATTAGCACACTGAGCCACCCGCTGCTGTTGGTAAGACGACTGAGATCGGTAGACAACTTCTTACCTGATCTGGTAACTCGTTTTAGCTCAATGAGCCTAGGTGGGTCTTAGATGTATATAGACAGTGGCGTAGCGCTCCTAATTGACCGATCGACACGAAATTTGGAGGGTCTCTCTGAGGTACAGTCCTACATCAGTGAGCCAAATTTTGTAATGATTGGCTGAAGCATCCCTGAGATATAGCTGTCTGATTGAAATGGGCAAGACAACAGTACAGTCAAGGTGTGGCTGGTGGCTGTATCTTACCGAAAATTTAAGTTTTTTCTCTAAATCTTTAAAAGGACTGTCTCCTGGTTTAAATGACACCAGATTTATGTATGTTGGGCGAAAATCTTAGGAGGTTAACAAAACAACCTGTTTTCAAACAACTATAAATCATGCAAAAAGGCAAAGATGGAGAACCAAGTTCTATATGCAGTTGAAATTCGTCATGACATAGTGAATTGGACTGGCAATAAATTTCAACTGTTGGCTTGACAGGTCTGGAGATATAGGCAGAAATGCAAATCGGGGTGCTGTAGCACCCCCATCTGACTGACTGGGACGGGTCAGTGTTACTGAGTAGTGGGTAGGAATAGTAATCTTGTTGCCAAATTTGGTCAGTCTAGGACTTACGGTTTAGGCTGGGCATTCAGTTTTAGGGAAGAAAAATAATTATTGTTCAACCCTCTGTAGTAGTGCCTGAGCACGTCTAAATTAACAATAATAGAAGTTTCATTGATCCTTGTGGGGAAAACGCCTTCACGTCTCCCCAGCTCACTTCACGGAGGGTATGCTGTGCACATCGGGCTGCTTAGCTCGAGTACCCACCGAAGCTGGGTTCGAACCTGCGACCCTCTGATTACAAGCATACAAGTTTAGCCCACTGAGCCACCCGTTGCTGTTGTTAAAACAGGTGAGATCGGTAGACACATTCTTACCTGATCTGGTTACTCATTTTAGCTCTATGAGCATAGGTGAGTCTTAGACACATATAGACAGTGAAAGTAGCACAACAATTTGACCGATTGACACGAAATTTGCAGGGTATCTCTGCGGTACAGCCCTTTATTAATGAGAGATATTTGGTAATGATTGGCTGAAGCATCCCTAAGATATAGCTGTCTGATCGAAATGGGAAAGGCAGCAGTACAGTCAGGGTGTGCCTGGTGGCCGTAACTTACTGAAAGTTTATGTTTTTTCCCTAAGTCTTTAAAAGGACTGTCTCTTGATTTAAATGACAACAGACTTATGTAGGTGTGGTGAAAATCCTAGGAGGTGAATGAAATGACCTGTTTTCAGAGAAATATA